AGTAAGTGTAAGCAAGAATCTGAATTCGTAGGTGTTTCCTGAATATGACACAGTATATTACTCTTCCACTACATCAACTGCCGTGTATGAAACACACTAAACTTGAAACTTCTTTTTTAATTCACTGTAAAGTTCACTTGTATATTTGGAAACCAATAGAGATCTTCTAGCCACAATGGTTTCGTAAGAAACTTTGATGGCTTGAGTGCAGCTGAGGAGAAAGCAACAGCTTCTTGTTTCATGTGCCGTGTGTATTTTAAGGAGCACATATATGGACAACTAGTTGCAAAGAAGAGAGTTAAGGGAATTGGAATGTGAATCTGTATTTAGCCAAAACAGTTCATAGAGACTGGAAAAAAATATCTTCACTTTCCATGTGTGCATTGAAAGTCAGTTATTTTGAGCAAATATTAAGCAAGTAGGACAGTAAGCAATACATCTAGAGTACCTAGAGAAGAAGCATACTGATGGGCATTTTTGCTAAACTCAGTGACTAAAATAATCAACAGAATACAGATGCCTTCAACCCTCTATGCATGCACATTTATAAAAAACTGAAAAATAGACACTTTACTTCAATGTATACTTAGAATCATAGAACTATAGATTATCGTGAATTGGAAGGGACCCAGGAGGATCATGGAGTCCAACCCCTGGCTCCATACAGCACCACCCAAAATTCAAAACCTTTCTCTGAGAGCACTGTCCAAATATTTCTCAAATTGTAGCAGCTCATTCCCTGGGCAGCCTGTTCCATGCCCACTGATGACTGGTGAAGAACCTTTTCTTAACCCCAGTTTGACCCTCCCCTGGCACAGCTCCATGTGATTTCCTCAGGTCCTGTCACTGTCACAGAGTGCAGAGCTCAGCACTGCTCCTCCATTCCGAGTGGGGAGATGTATGCTGCTGTGAGGCCTCTCCTCACCTCCTCTGCTTTGGGTTGAGCAAATCAAGGGACCTCTGCTCCTCACACACCTTGCCCTTCACACGCTTCACCATTTTTGCAGCCTTTCTTTGGACACTCCCTAATTCTTAGGGCCACCTGGCTGAAATTTTTAAAGGTTTCTTATACTAGGATTAAGGGTAAAGTGCTCTAAAACCAACATCATAAACTGTTCCAGACATGAGGGTATGTTCTGATGGGTTTCGCTGTGCCTCCTCATCTTTGCTTTGTATAAGGTTCACAGTGTAGTAACTGGTGGCAAAGAGGTTGTCATGGCCTAGAGGAGGAGTAAGAAAAAAGAACATGAAAATTCCTTGCAAGATGATCCTGAATAGCAGCTGAAGGGTAGCTCTTTTTTAAAAAGCCAAAATAACAAAGTATGATGCACTTTGAAAGCACTAAAGCCTGAGTTTGCCAAAAAGCTGCAAAGCTGATAAATAAAGCAGTAAAAATACTAACTGGATACTGAAGTCGATTCTAAATTTTGTTACTTCAAGTGACTATAAATTTAAGGAGATAAACACAAGACTATTCAGTGAAAAAAATGAAAATCTTTCTCTGCAAACGCACAGCTGGAGGGCAGGGCACAATGTTATTTGAGGCACAAGTACAATAAATCCCTAGGAGTTTGACTTCCAGGATATACTCAAGTTGGGAAATATATGAGTGCCCCTGAGAGTATAAAGTTTAGGGTCACAGAGAGTTTTCTTGCAAAATTTTGTGACTGCGGACAAGAATCTGTCAGAGTACTTCAAGTTGTTGCCTGCTTTCAGTAAACTGTGGTGATTACACTTGATATCTTATGCTGGAAATAGTGGTTTTTATCCATGTTTTTCACAATGCTTTGAAACAGTGAGATTGTTAACAAGTGCTATAATGTATTTTTGGTACTGTGTGATTTGGTCACATGGAAAGTATTGGAAAATTTACTACTTCCTTTGCTCCAAAGTTGGCCCTCTTATTAAACTAAAAGCAATGGAACTTCAAATGCCTCTTGTAATCTTCTTCATGAAAAAATATGCAATGAATTGTCCTCTCACACAAGGTCCACTCACTCTCATCCCTAAGCAGGCTACTGATATCAGCTGTACCCTGTGTCCTATTTTGCCAAATAGGTTATATCAGAAGATGAAGCAAAAGCAGTTGATCTAAAGATAAATATAAATATTGCTAGCTATTTCACTACTCAAGGTCTGTTAAACTTCTTTCTTGTGTTGTGTGAGTCAGTTCTGTTAGCAAAATACACCAAATGTAGGATTCATACTATTTTCCTGCTTGTTGTACGGGCAGTTAGACTAATGTAGAGAAACTAATACTTCTTGGGAGTACAGTACTGAAACTACTGTGTAGATCTATGTAGGTGTACGCCAGCTGAAGCTCCTCACATACATAGGCAATGTTTTCTTACACGTGTATGTCACGTATCTGCTACACCCCTTAACGTGATCAAAACCCAAGCAAAATGATTTTACATTTTAAAGCATTTTTTTTCTATAGGGGAAGGGAGATACATACAGTGAAAAAGAAAGTCTTGTGTGGAAGTAAAATAGGTGGAAAAAATAAATTCTTCTTAGATATCTCAAGTTTGTAATCAAACTTTGTGCATCGTACCGACTAATAACAGAGTTGTCTTTCATGTTATTTTAAATATCTGAGCCTGCCTGCTGGAGAGTGATACTGTTAAATGTCAGATACAGAGCACAGACTGAGCCAATAGCCTCTGCCTTAGCTTCTTAGCTTGAGCTATAGCTGAAATTGCAGGTGGGAGGAGAGGACTACAACGTGTCAGCAGCAGGAGCCCACAGGCTCCAGTGCTTTCTTCTTCTGGTGTACGCATCTCTTCCCATTGCGTATGTACACAAAACTTTGTGCAGCTCACCTTGCCCACGGCTGTGTTTCTTGTTTTCATCACCAGCATATTCCTAGAGGGAATATGCATAGCTGCTTTCAGGATTGAGAGTGCTGAGGCTTTGCGTCATAGAGATACTCTGTGTTTATAAAAGTCTTTATTATTACTTCTGAAGGTAATTTCTAACAAAACAATCCATTCTACAGTGTATAATCAGCAGCAAAACATTTTTCTTTGTGTTTTTATGTACGTGAGCAAATTCTGCCTGAGGCTGCCATTTGAGAGTTAGTACAAACATGTTTTTCCAAGTATTAGATATCCAAATAAATCAGGAAAGGAAAGCTACAGTATTATGATCCTGCATCTCTTTGTAATGACTAGCAGAACTGGATAATGTTTCCATGTAGGAAAGTTCTCCCATCAGAAACAGCATTAACATTTAAGTTGTTTCTGTTCTCTACTCTATTTCCCTTCATTCTCAGGGACTAGAGCTGCTGCTCCTTGTGGACAGGCATGCTCAGGAGAGTCCCTTTCACTGCTGCTGAGGACAGCTTAAGCTCAGCCTCCCTGGCTTTGCACTGGGGTGCATTCAGGATGCTCTCATGAGCATGGTTCACCTGGGATGCAGTAACATCCTAAACCTTTTTTTTCCATGAGAGTACATTTCTCTCAAGCCTGGATGCTGTGTTCATGAAGGGAAGAACAAAGTTCAGCCCTTAGGAGCTCTTCAGAAATTGTCTACACTTAAGCAACCTATCCTATGTAGTGCTGCACTTTGTCAAATTATGCCTTCCTCCCGAGGAGGAAATCTGACAAATTAGAAACTACTGATCCCCTGAAATCATTGATAGACTTGCTGCTTTCCTTGCAGGATCTGGCACGATTATTGAAGCCTTCTCCTTATCGACTGTGTTCAGTTTTGTTGTATTATATAACACCACTGCTCTAGCATCTCCTCTGTCATGTTGTTTCTACCTCTTGATTTGCATACTCATTTTAACACTCCAAGTAGGTTATTTTAAAGAGGATACTCTCTCCACCACAAATATCATCTGCCTGTCCTTTTGTAATCTGCACACCTAATGAAGCCTTTAGATGTATGAAATGAGAAGTGTGCATGGGCTTTGTCCATCTTGGCTGTCTGTATTAAAATGCTTGATCTAAGAGCTCTAAAAGAAATAAAACGCTTTTCAGTTTCATTTGTACTAAGCTACAGGGTGCTACAACACAAGATTAATGTATGTAGCTGGCGTGCTGACAGCCTGAAAAGGGTCACTGCTGCCCTCTTGTTCCAGACAGATTCCATTCCTCAGAGAAAGGCTGCACTCCTTAGGCCTAATGACAGGTTGATGTAGAATTTATTTTCTTGGCAGAAATAGTGATTTGGATGTAAACTTGCATGTATTGTACAGCAAATCTTTTGTTTCTTTTCAGTTTTCTTCAGTTCTAAAAGTTAAATGTATTCTGTTGGGAATATTAAACTGTTCTCATACATTCTAGAAATAGAAACTGTTGTAAGACTAATAGGTAACAATACATTTCTTTTCTCTGTTGAAATGAACTTACTTCATTCAACCCATGATGGAAAGGCTGTTCTACTGATTCTCAGAAGAAGCATTTCATTTATTGCATGCTAACTCTGCTATAGGACATGAAAATCCTGAGCTGCTTTTGTAGGTTAACTTGGGCTAAACTCTCTTGGAGTACTTTCGCAGTTCTTCTCTACCTTGAAAAAAATTCTCAAATGTATTTTCACAACCTTTTCCGCATGCATACAATCTGTCCAAACGTATTGCTGATAGAAGTTACACTCTATGTTCATACTTTAATCTTCTTTCTGTTACTGTTTCCAGGTACCAGCACAGCTACTATTGGATCTTCTATTTGTAGCCAAAACTGTCATTGAAAGCATTTGGTGGCGTTTTACGGGATGAGCTGGCAAAATCATTGTTATTCATATCTAAAACAAATGTTCCAGGAAATTCAAAACAACTTAATTCAAATCACCATAGTAATTAAATCTCTCTAACATTAGTTAAAGCCTGAATATAGAATTCAGAAAAAAAAAAAAAAAAAATCCAGAAAAGAAAAACTGCTATAGACTTCTATTTTGTTACCAACCTCTTAAAAACAGCTCGTACGCTGATTACAAGTTGCTTCTTCAGAAATAAGATGTTCATCTCTTATATCTGGTCATTCCTTCTACAGCTGTTTCCAATCCTTCTGAAGTGCTAGATGCTCTTGATCCAGTAGAAGAGAAACTTCGAACTCAAATTGATGAAGAGAAAAAAAGGTATAACTTCTGCTTCAAATCATGCTCCAAAGGATAAACTGTATTGTATTACAATTCTACACACAGTTAACATCAGGGTTTCTCTGACATTTTAAAAAATGTCAGCCTTGTGATTTGCTGATAGGTTTAAAATTTGTGTATAAGCTTTTGGTTTGTCTGTAAGATGCCACAGTAAGCAAATGGTGAAAACCTACGCTAGGGCCAGTGGTCAAGAATAAATAGAAACTTAATATCCCCCTTGAGGATTAGCATCAGAAATTAGTTCTTTGAATCCAAATGTACCATGTACCTTCTTTGTTGATTCATGAATGTCATGCCTTCCTCGACCTATGAAAAACTTTTAGGCTATGTAGGACTGAGTAGTTGTAAATAATATGTAGAATATGCACTGGTTAGTCAATCTTTCTGCTTGCTGTATTGTAGCTTTGGCCCAGAAGACAGAAGAAAATAGATGCAAGGATATCACATCTATGTAATTTTGTAGGCATTTGTATTATATGTAGCCTATGAGGTAATTTCTGACTGTTTCAAACTTCAGTAATTTCTGACTACATATTAGCTTTCATTTGGAAGGGCAATCAATGCGTATCTTGACATTATCAAACCTGTGTTAAAATCAATGTTGGCTGCACTTTAATTTCACTATTATTTTAGTAAAAATTTAGTTTTCCAGGATAGGACTCTAATCTCTAGTGAAGCTATCATAAAATATGAGAGGTCTCTTCTCACCACCACTCTGCCCATCCTCACCACTTTGATTGTTAAATATTCTTTTTATTTTAAATCTGTAGCTATTCTAGGTAGAATTAAACTTTATTCAGAGACATGTTGTAAGGTCTTTACTACTCTTTCTTCTTTTCACATTAGTTATAAAACAATGTTCAATCGCTTGAAAGGGCTGAAGGTAGAGATTGAACACCTGCAGCTTCTCATGGAAAAAGCCAAGATGAAGCTGCAAAAAGACTTTGAAGCCTGGTGGACTGAAGAGGGAACAAATCTACAGGTACACAATTACAGTGTATTTCTTCCATTTTAATGTAAATTTAAAATCTTCAATAAGTTCATAAATTTAATAAATATATTAATATTAATAATAAATATGTTAATATTAATAAGTATAAAATTTCATAAAAATAATTTCATTAATTGACAAGATAGAAAGGACTACGAAGGAAGGGATTTGAGTCCTGATTCACCACTGCTCGTTCCAATGTAAATCAGACAAAGCTAATGTGAATTATGCTCTATGAAGCTAATACAAACAAAGCGAAACCCTTGCTTTCTGCTTTATTTTCTGTTTTGACTTCCTCCCACACAAGTTGAAGGAAAGCCAAGAACAGTCCCAAAAATTCCAAAGACTCTGATGGAACATAAAATGAATAGAGGCAACTGGAAAAAAATAATCTTTCTCACTGCTTACTAAACTATGATTTCATCAGTTTTATGACGTGTATGGCAGTCAAAGCTGGACAAAATGGACAAAACCCAACAAATGTAATTTGTTTTTTAGCAATGTTTCAAAGTCTCCTGTAATCTTTCAGCTTTCTTAAGCTCCCAAAGGCTCACTAACTCTCACCATAGTGCATGTGTCCCCTTGCTCTCCAGCTGAGTCCAACCACTACCATCCTTGTCTGTTTAAGAACTCACTGGAAACAAAGTGTTCTATTTTAAACACTTTTGCAAAAATGATTGAAAGAGATGTGACTTTAAGCAAATTATGTGAAGTTCATCAGGCAGTGAGACAGCTACATGGTTTCACAAACACAGAGTACGGTACAAAAGGTCTGGAAGGGAAACAACTGAAATAACATAGCTTTCTTATGAGCTCCCTTTTTTTTTTTTTTTTTTTTTTTAATGGCTTCCAAGCAGTGACATGGCATCTCATAGCACAGGACAGCTGTGAGATGCCTATCAGCCTAGTGGAAAAGACTGCTAAGTGCAGTCTGTACATATTACTTGTTATTAACTAGAAGATAAGCTTTAGTCTGTGGAGAAAATTTGTTATAAAAGAGACAGAAGATTTTAGACAGTATTTCGTTTAATTCCTGTGAGTATAAATTTAAAACATATTTTAAAGAAAATAGTCTAAAATAAATCAGATATTTAATATGAGAAGCTTACATATTCATAAAATACCATGAAAATAGCTTAAATTCAAGTTATTGTTATAAAATATTTTTTCAAATTAAAGTCCCTAGCCTAAGGCAAAATTATAATATTTTACTTAACATCCTGTCTAAAAATTTAGACTTTTAAAACACTACAAACAATAATCTTGAATCCACTGCAGCACAATTTTTTTTTCTGTCCCTTAAAAGAGAGGTCCAGGATTCAGTCTCTCATGATTCACCAGTAGAAGATTAAGGAACTGGGGAAAAAATAGAAAGGGATTGATATCTTGGATCTTGACCTATCTATACATCTGAGCTCCCTAAGAGACTCAAATAGTGAAACGTGCTGTTACATATTAAAACCCTGTAACATGAGCTTAAGTATCTTTGACTCAATCCTGAACACTTTTCTCATTGTTCAGAAGTGTTTGTGTAAGTGAAGAAAATACTGTAAATTTCAGATTGTTTTTTGAATGAGTCACTGACCTACCTCGTTATAGCTGAGACCCATAGACCGATATTAAACGCTCTAAAAAAATCCCATACTACTACATAGTTTTGTTTTTTGATCTAGACCCAGCAAGAAAAGACAGAGTTGGTTAACTCACCGAATAGCACGACGATTTATCCCCAGTTCATCAAATCTTCACAACATCTATCAGCTAACAGGTAAATTGATCATTTTTCTCTTCCTTACTTAGTTGTAAGAAAATGTAAGATTTTTAGAGCTTTAGTACATCAGAAAGTTTTGTAAATATCACACTCAAAAACTGCATTTCTAGTAACAAGAAAAATGACTGCATAGAAAACAAACTCATAATTCTGTTGTTTGGTCCTATTGAAGGTATCTTACTGTAAATCAGTCCTTTTGGCTTGCTAGTCTTTGCACCCTGCAAACCTATCACTAGGAACCCCATGACCAATAGCTCTGAGAAACAAGCCTGTTATCACCCAATTTTGCTATAAAAGGATATCATATCTCCTTTGGAATGAATTCAGGAGGCTGCAAATCAAAACAGATTTTAAAATGACTGAACGTATAGCCTAGATTTCCTGTAGAAAAAAATGTCTACAGGAACATTTTGAACATTTTCTAGACAAAATGTCCTGATGCTACACTCTTGCAGCATATTATTCCACAGAGATACTGTGTGTGATATGGTATGGCATTGATGCAACCTCTACATTACAACAAAGTAATGATCTGAGTTATTTCACCATCAGTCACTTGTAATTTCAAAATTTCTAATTCAGATTTGAAGTAACAGGTATTTCATGGCCTTCAAGTAAAGTAGAGTGCAAGAAAATGTATACCACCAGAATGTGAATGTTTCTGTATTCATTGTCAATAAATGGAGATGTTCTCTCTCCATCCTCCTCCCTTTCTTCCCTTCTCATTATACAGTTAATTTTTCTCTGATGAGTATCTCGGTGTCTGTTTTTATAACAGTAGTCAGCTTAAATGATGTTTTCTGCTTTGCAGTAAAACATATCCTACATGTCATTAAATAATGGATTTGCTTAAAAAAGTAAAAAAAAAATCTAATTTTCAGTAGTAAACTCTTGTGTATCTACAGTAAATGCTCCACAATGAGTGCAAAGAGGGAAAGAAACACGTAATCCCCGTAACGGTGTCTAAGAAGGCGTTTTCAGACTGACGAAAACCAACACTAGTCTCTACTTTTCTCCAGTTCTCATCCCTACTCTAAAGTAGTAGGTAGTAGTAGGTGGTAGTAGTAGTAGTAGTGTACTCTAAAGACTTAGGCACTGTTCACCTTGCAGATAGTTGACATTATTTAAGACCTAGTTTGAGATGTTCATTCCTGGCTTTAGGCTCAATGTTACCAGTCCCACAGAAAATCTGGCAGCACAGAATGCAGAAGCATTTTCAGTCTAGCTCATCACAAAGCCAGCCAACTTAGCTCAAACAGTTCATGACTGTTCATTGGAAATACTCTTTTTAACCTTGTACTGAACTAAGCTAAGGACCACTTGTGCAACCTCTTTGCCTCGTTGTTTGTATGAACTCTTCTCATTAGTGTATGGTGATATCTTCTGCACTTTAAACTAGAGCTGAAAATGGCATACAATAAGGCCTGAGAAGTTTTTCAATGCAATGGGAGACCACCCTCCACAAGTAATAGTTTCCCCTTCCTACATCCCTGCTCCTTCTCAGAAGTGAATTTGCATATTTTAGTTCCTCTATAATTTTCTTCTAAATTTTTCCTTCAAATACCTTATCAGCATGTACCAGGGAACCGGTCTCAGGAAACATTTAGTATTTGCAATAGAACATGGGAAAGTGTTTGATCACTATAAGTTGCTGAGCTTATTTTGGTGGCTTGTGCTGCCCTATGTGGTCTCTCAGAAAAACTAGTATGGCTTTTATAATGTGGAGTTCCTCTGTGTAATTAATGGACATTTTGACTGAGACTAACTGACATCCTTTCATAGGTATCACAGATCCAGGGCATTCATATTTTCAAACTTAAATTACAGAACAAATCAGAAGTATACAGTTTCGTTTTCTCATATTTGCTACATATCATTATTCTTGCAATGGTTGCTTGAAGTTAACTATTCTTTCCTCCACATAGCTTCAGAGAGCTGATCTTGTATTAGCTGTTCAAACATATTTTACGCAGGTACATGATGTGTATGGAATTGGAAACACTCTTTCTGCTTTTTGTGAGGAAGAGCTGCAGACTTAACATCCCACTATGCATTAAATTTTACTTTTCCTCCTACCTGAGGCAATAACATTTTAAAGTAGAAGTTTCCAATTTCACAGTGTTAAAGAATATAAAACAATAAAGTCTTTATTCTCAAGAATTTATTTGACCTCAGTTGATGTAGGAACTTTACATACCTGTTCCCGTGACTGTGTAGGATGAGTTTAGTCTAAAATTTCTCCTCTCTTTGCATGGTCCCAAGATCAAATGGCTCTTTGTTTCTAATTCAACTAAAAAACAAGAATCTCTGAAATAATATTGCTGTGTTCACCTAGCAGAACAAAAGCAGAAGCTCTCAAATTATATGCAACATAATGTAGTATAAATAAAACATATTTTCAGAAAGGAATTTTGTTCACAGGTATATTCAATAGATTAAAGGTCTAAAACTTAAGGAGCTTCATGTCAGAAATCTAGGACTTCTGTTGAAAGAATAACTATGCAGTAAAACTATTCAGAAAAAATCCTTAGCGTGAATTAATATAAATTCAGACTTCAGGATTAAAAACAGTACTTGTAAATTGTCTGTGTCAGTGCCTCAAGGATACAAGCACACTCCATAATCTTTCTTGAGATTTATATGTCTGTTCGAAAAAAATGTTTTGATCACCTTCTAGTGAATAATTCATGTGAATTATTACTGTTTGACACACCTTAGTTATATTACTAAAGATGATTAAACTTTGGGAAGAGAATGTGATAGCCTCAAATTAAATTTATATTAAATGAATTTATAGCTAAAATAACAGTGAAAGGAAACTAGGAATCTTTGTGAGGTTTAGGAAGGATAAACATGTATAAAAGGCACTAATTGCATGGCCAAACAACTTTTTTGAATGGAAAAAAAAAAGTTTGTTAAATGTCAAATGAGTCTACGTCATAAAGGAGTTAAATAGTGAGCATTTCTGCATTAGTAAGCTGTGAAAGGAATTGACTTGATACTACTGCAACCAGAGTAAGAAGCAAAACTTGACTGAGTTCAAGGAGGTGAGATGTGACAAGGATTATCAGTGCATAAGAAAGGTAATTTATTGAACAAGTTAATCTTTTTACTGAAATATACTTAAGGAGCTGAAATCAGTGGTTTGCATATTGCAAAGGCTAGCAGACTCATTTTCATTGACCCGTTGGATAGATATAAAGGGTTTCGCAGATATAATTATGTTTTCATTATCTTTCACTTGGAGATTGTAGAAATATTAAATCTCATCTGTTCTGAACATATTACTTAAAACAAAAAACAACTGTGCAAAATGGATAAAGAATGGTCCACCTCTACATTCCACTGTATGATCTAATCACCAATCCCAGAGTCACAGTACTAAGAGAAAGAATGAGGAATGTAAGATAATCATCAAGAAATTGTGTTTTTCAAAATGTATGCCTAATATAATCCCTCAAACTTGAAAAGATGTGCCCTACTCTCTACAGCAAAGCTGTGGATTGAATTGCAAATATATATATGTTTATTCCTCCTACTGGGCGCCTGTCGAGTCTGAAAAAAAGTGTCATTCTTCTCACATGTTGGATTTCATTTAGGATGTTTATCAGATTCTTGCCTGTTCAAGTTATTTCACAGAGTCACAGAATCAGAGAATCACAGAATCACAGAATGGCCCTGGTTGGAGGGACCTCAAGCATCATGAATCTCCAACCTCTCTGTCTCGGGCAGGACCACCAAACTCCACATTTAATACTAGACCAGGCTGCCCAGGGCCCCATCCAACCAACTTTTCTCACTGAAAGTTTAATTTCATTAATGTTGAATTGTTCTTGTATCTCCAGTGAATAAAACGAATGTTGGATGCTTACTGAAATCTAAAAATTTTGGATTTTTTCCTTCTGTCAGAAGGAATCCATTCCCTTGCAGTTTGTTTCTTTCCTAACCTCAGTCACTCCCTCTTAATAGATTTCATTTGTCCTGTTCCAGCAAACCACACAGCATGTTCAGTATCAGACTCTATGTCCTCAGCTTCTTTGAAATCACTTTAGTTTCCTTAGGTTTTCAGACAACTCTTCAGATTCAATGAAGACTTTTAGCATCAGTTGTTTTAGTATTGATTGCCTTGGATTACAAAATTTATTTCCTGTACTAGGGCTATGTGAAACAAGAGAAACATTTACATTTTTTGCAATGTTCTCTGTCTTGTTTTTCATTTCTGCCAATTTTCTGCAGTGTTACATGATGATAAAATATAATCTGAGAATAACATGTCTGATTAATGATATTTCAAAGCTTTACAAATGTTCGTAACAATTTGACTTGAACAATTTATCTAGGAATTTGCAAGTGAAGCCAAATTTATTTTGCAACTAAACACAAAAAATATTCAGATTTTAAGCAGCTTGAATCTTTCTGAATGTATTTTGTCTGCCTTTAAATGGAACATCTGTTCCTTCTACTTTTAAGGTTCAGATGCCTGGAGAACTGAAGCAAATTTGTTTTTAACAATGTTAAGGTTGCATGCCTTTGGATGTTACACACATTCTCCACTTTTTTTTCAGTGCCACACTTACAAATCAAACATTCACGCAACAACACTCATCATCTTTCCAGATTCTCCAATTTAAGGCCTAGATGGAGCTGATCAGCTCTTGGGTTTTCACAGCAAGGGAGACAGTGCAACAACAGTGTGTACATCTCTCAAGCTGCTGCCCCATGCCTGACCCAGACGTATGCTTCACAACAGATGGCTCAAAAAGAAAAAGCAAGTCACCCACTGGGTAAAAACTCTTGCTACTAAGTTCAAGAAAGAAATGATAAATCTAAGGCTATTTGTAATTGCCAGAAAAAAAGCAAGAATTTTACAGAAACTGTCAGGAAATTGAATTTGCCTTCTTCGATTCAACTCAAGAAAAATAATTGGATAGATTCAGAACGAAAATTGAAATTACATGTTATCTAAAGAACATGAATGGTCTTAGATCTTAGTTGCTGAATAGAGAGACTGGACTTCTGTAAGTCATACATCTGTCTAAGTCCAAAACTGTAAGCCAAGAGTGCCAACTAACATATTACAAAAATATTGATTAGATGGCACCTCTAGAAATATCTAGATGAACCTCTTGCTCGAAGAAGGACTATTATCACACTAAATCATGTCACCTATCTTTTTGTCTAGCTTTGTCAAGCACCTGGACTCAGGAAGAACGCTTCTAAAAGTTGAGTCATCACTCTTTAAAGATTTTCTTAGCATCCTTAGTTTCATCTCTTTGCTAGTGAAAAGTGTTTTCTCACTTCAAGCACTGTGTTCAGTTTTGGGCCCTTCAATAGAAGAAAGACATTGAGACCCTGGAGTGTGTTCAGAGAAGGGCAGTGAAGCTATGAGGGATCTGGAGCACAAGTCTTATGGTGAGCAGCTGAGAGAACTGGGATTATTTAATCTGGGGAAGAGGAAGTTCAGAGGTGACCTTATTTCTCCCTACAACTACCTGAAGGGAGGTTGTGGTAAAGGGGGGGTTGGCCTCTTCTCCTATGTAACTGGTGATAGGAATGGCCTCAAGTTGCACCAGGGGAGATTCAGGTCAGACTTCAGGAAACATTTCTCCAAGAGAAATGTGGTCAGACACTGAAATGGACTGTCCACAGAGATGGTGGAGTCACCATCCCCAGGGGTGTTCAAGAAATGTTTGGATGTAGTACTGAGGGATATGATTTAGTGGGAAATATTGGTGACATGTGGACGTTTGGACTGGATGATCGTAGGGGTCTTTTCCAACCTTGATGATTCTGTGATTCTATGATTCTAAGAAAAAGCTAGAAAAGTAGTTTTCCAGCAAGGACATCAACACTTAATTCTCCTGAGATACCAAGACCTTCAGGCTTAACACACAGAGTGGGGGATCATTGCCCCCATTCCCCACCATTACATAATAGCTTTCCATTAAATGTGAAGCAGTATCAGCAAAATTTCCCCTTTTCTCATCACTGGAAAAGCGCCTAAAACTCAAGTTAAACAGAAGGGTCCTGGATTCTGGAAACAGACTAAGAGAGATATGGACACCGTAAATGTTAAAGAATCTGAAAATACTAACTGTGCAAGAAAATCACATTCATTCATCCCTTTTTGATGCAACATATCTTCCAATACTATGGAAAAATAACCATAGCTTCAACACAAAGGATGCAGGTTACTTCCATAATGACCATCCTTCTAATTGAGGAATTCTAATGATTTCTGAGGTATGTAAGTAAGACTTAGTGTTTCTACTAAGATGAAAGACTCATTTGTTAGATCAGTACTCTAATTGTTAGTCACTTTCATGGAAGTAACACCTCGAGTCATTACAAAGCTTCTCTCACTTGCAAACAAGCATGTCTGGCTGTAATGTTTTGCAGACAGAGTAGCAGTTTAAGGTCCTGTTTTATTACTGAACACAGTCATAATTTTCTGGTTTGGGGTTTCACCTCACTCAATCTAAGTCGGTTTGTTTTAAATATCACCTTCTCAAGGTTTTCAGTTCTCCCAGATCACTTTAAAGCCAATTTTGGTGTATTGCCCGAGATCCAGGAGACCACTTGAAAATGAGAAGTCAATTCCTTAAAATCACACCTTAAGTGGTCTGAATTTGTGTACCTTTTTAAAAGCAGAGTTAAACAATTTTGGAGAGTAGTTTTCATTGAAATACAGTGAGAAGCATGATTTAAAATGTCAACTACTGCACATAAAAAATATTTCTATCAGCTGACTCACAGAATTCATAAATGTACACGTTCTGATTGTGGCAAGTAAAAAGCAAAAAATCTTACGGCAATGACAAAAAATCCCACTATGTCACAGTACCTTACGTTTGTTGCAGGTTAAGAATACAATCATGAATGCCTATTATGATTCAGTTGATGTACTTTGTCAGTTGATGTGATTTATTAAAACACAGTTATATGACTTGGATAGCCTGGTATCTCGGGGCACAGACACAGAGTTCTTTTAGAAAATGGAATTTAAGCTCCTAGATCATCTCATTTTTAATAACTGCCAAATCAATGGCATTTTGGAGGGGAAATGCTAAAGCAGTACTTCAATCTAGAGCTCCCAGATATTGTTAAACCACGTAGTAGGTAGTATCATCATACATTCTTTATTGTTCTTGTAGTACATATCCATAATAAAGTATGGAGCATTATTACCATTAAGGGAGCAATATCTTTTGCAAAAAATGAACCTGGAACAGCATAATACACTGACATTTTAGTGATAACTTTCTTTCTTTTTTCAAGTTCTCTGTCAGAAATATCGTATCATCCTCCCGCAATGAAGCATTGCGGAATTGGAAAAGCAAGAACTTGCCGATTCTGCCATCTAGTGGAAAAATCTTAAAACTGAGTAATTCCATCTTTCAACGTCAATCAGGAATGGTACCAGATACAGCAACGTACACAAAAACCTAGGGAGAGAGAGAGCGGTGTCTGTCATCCCCTGGCAGAAATCTGCTTTCCTCACTGTGGGACTCTTTGATAATTATATCTGTAGACAAAGGAATGCGCAACATCCATTTGCATGGCTCTCACCAAAACACATGCCAAAGACTTCGCTGGATTTTACTCAATCTCCAACTGTTTCCAGTAATAATTTTGCCCAACTAAAGAAATAACGAAAAATTTGCTAAAGCCTCACTTGGATAATTGTCAGTTTGGGAACTAAATATATCACTACAAACTCTTCATGAGGCTTGTCAAAGCACTTTACAAGCCCTGCTTAGAAGGCAAATCCTAAAAGCATAATCTTTATGAGCTTCCTTGTTCATTCCTGAGTAGCCACATTCACTACATAAGCCGGATCATCACATGGCTTCAACTGAAAATAGTCTTTCTTCCCATAATCAACAAGTGCTTTATATATATGTGCATATATATATATATGTATATTTTTTTTTAAATAACTTCTTTGTACTTAGCATGTACTAACATTCCCTCTACAAGGATTATATCCTTGCCCTCATTTCTTCTCCCATTCCAGTTTTTCAGAGACCACAAGAACCAATTCCAATGCAGATTCATTTGGGAAAAACAATTCAATTGTTTTTGATAACCCAACTACAAAAATAAGGCAAGAAGCCTACCTAGACTAATGAGAGGAAAATACAAGCCAGTAATATAACACCCTAGATAACCCTCTATTGCTATCTTTATAAACAGTTTTTTTTTTTAATAAAAGAGAGAAAAAGGCAGAAAGACAGAAAGAGGGGAAGGGGAGAGGAGGGGAGGGAAAGAATAGCAGGTTTTACTCAAAATTCCTCAACAACATCACAAGCTTTGCACAAGTACTTGCATTATCACTTGGAAGGAGGTGGCCTCAGGCTTTCTTCCACATGAGTTCATGATTCCTCATGACTGTTTCTGTTTCTGCAAGAGAAAGAGACTCTGAAACTATAAATAAAATAATTTGAAAGAGAGATCTGAGTGGGTAACTATCACAGACTGCAAGTTCTGGGTAGAGATTTTTTACTGTTGTGATTTTGACCTCATGACATTGACATAAAATTTTAGACAAGGTTTCTTGTGACCCCATGAAATATTTTCAGTTTCCCTCCCACAAATTATTAGAGTAAAATAAAATGACAGCAGCAGTCAGAGTTTGTCAGGCTTAGCAAATGTTATATTCCATGTTTTTTCAAATGAGGTACTACCTTGTGAAAATTAGCTTAGCAGGTTAGCAGAAACTACTGTTTTGTGTTGTGTTTTTTGATGGCTTCTCATTTTTTCCATATGTTTTCATTTCCTCATCATTTTCTCCCACCAAAATGTCATGCCGTGGCAGTATACTCCCAGAGGTTATATTCTCATTGTGCTCAGTACTTCTGGTATTAAGGGCCCTAGGAAAATATGGTTAAGCTACTGTTTTTCAAGATGCAAAAGTTAGAACAAACTGCAAGTTTTTTTCTCTCATCTTCCAAAATAAAACATATATAAAACAGCAAATATATATATATATAAAGTATTTTTAATTTTTTTTATATTACTGTTAATCACATGAAGATCAACAAGAATAAACCTTTGATGGTATTTTGAGTTCTCCTTGTAAGTTACATATGAAATATTTTATTGAGTTCATATAGTAGTTTCTATAATTTTTTTCCATTATTATTCACTAATTTTGCAACAAAGGACTTAATTAGTAGTCCAACAAAGAAAAGGATGTCAGACTTGTTTTATGGTAGGCACAATTACTTTTTACTGCAGCAGATGGTAAAGAACAGCAGAAATAACAGTAATGACAAAGGTAGAGTGTGTGAAAATAATTTTTCTCCCTTCATTACCACTTGTGCTTCCATATTGTAATTTTTATCACTCTGTTTCTGATTTTTACATTAATGCTTAATCTTTACAGAAGACTAACAACACAGAGACAAATTCTTAGCTGATTAGAATAACTTTCTTGTACTACATCACTATATACTATACACTATATTCTCTTACACTAGGCAAAAATACTAATGATCTGTTCAAATAAATAGCTGTTGCTTTTTGGGTGTTTTTTTTTTTCCCAAAAGCAAACAAGAACTTGGCATGGTCATTTCCATAATTTCTTCAATATAGTCGCCATACAGAGCTTTTCCAATTGGTGGTAAGCCTTTGTTTGAGCAGTAAAATATTTTTAACCCTTTGTGGAAGGTTTTATAACTATTCAGCTCATAGTTCCACATAACTAAAAAGCTACTATTGGCTATTCTTAGGAGTCTACATTACGATGTCCTCAGCTTAATTCTTCTCCAAACAGTGCAATTTTTAACAATCTGGAGAACAAAGAACAAAGCCCTCCATTTTAAGGAGTGAGGAGATAAAGAAACAGAAAAATTATTTATTCAGTTTGGTCCACAAATATGCTTTCTCATTTCAGGACCTCACCAAGTTCAAGTACATCTATTCCTCTGACTGGAGACAGCCAGACTGATGCTGACATCCTAGCTTTCATTAAAGCAAGACAGAACATTCTACAAAAGAAAGGTAAATCCTAAAAAAATAGAAAAAAAGAAAAAAAGGAAAAAATCTCCAGTATCTTAAGGCCTAAATAGCTTTAGTCTGCACTTACACAGTGACACAAGTGAGAACTGATGCTAGCAAAATTTGTATGACATTATGTTTTCAGCAATTCTAAGCACTTGAAGTTCTTCACAAGTATTTATTTTAGTATCTTAATCCTCCAATATAGAACTATGTAGGCTGTCTTTTTTTCCCAACCACCATCATGCATGTTTATGCAATCAGCACAATTTATTAATTTATATTTTAAAAAAAAGCATTTGAACATGATTTCTCAGTAATTTAAATACTTCTCAAATTTTTGTTTGCTATCTGGCCTAGTTTTCAACTGGCACAAATTTAATTGTAATAACTACCACCAAATTAAGATTATGCAAATAATGACATTTCAGCCTTCCTCATCAAGTAAACTGGCTGCTGTATCTAATAGAATATGCCTTTAGTAGGCATTTCATTATATCAAGGGCTAATAAAATTTTCTATGGGTATTTGTCAACAAATCAGTTACTGAGAGCAATCATAGGTAGGCAATAAA